GGGACCTTTTCAGGTACTGAACAGGAAAGGGGACTCGTCCTGCTGTCGTCCCACTTTCCGGACGCCATTCCAACCGCCGGGGAAGCGATGTTCCGTGCGTTCAGGCCATCGACACCGGACTGGAAGCTGGCTAAAGCCTTGTAAACCGGCAAACAGTGCGGTGGGCTTTGGACTCCTTCGAACGGTACAAGGCCCCTGGGGTGGATGGTATATGTCCGGTGTTGCTAAAGCAGGGCGGGGAGCTCCTACTTCCACATCTAGTGGATATTATGAGGGACAGTCTAGCACTGGCCCACATTCACAAGGTGTGACAGAAGGCCAGGATTATCTTTATCCCGAAGGCAGGTAAGAGAGATTACTGGATGTTGATTCGGTCACCTCTAAGGCCACGAGAGCGATGATAGTGTGCAAACATCTGGATGGATGTACACCATGATAGTGAGGCCTATAGTGACTTATGGCGCGGTGGCTTGGTATTCCAGGACTACTATGGTAACGGTGAGGCAAACCCTCTCTAAGCTTCAACGTCTGGCATGTGTTTGCATTACGGGAGCAATGCGCACATGCCTGACAGGCAGCGCTGGTGGTAATGCTGGAACTCGAACCACTGCATCTCTCAGTTGAACAGGTTGCAAAGCGAACCCTCCTTAACTTTGCGAGGGTTATCATCTAGGAACAGGGACAAGCTAGGTACCCAGCTCTCCCTGGCCTTGTTTCCCAGGGACGATATCAACAGACAGGTTGTCTTTAAAAGGAGTTTCAGGACCTACATTTATAGCAAGCCGACCTGGTGTACCTCTATTATGGAAAGGCACATACAGGCGAGCACAATACAGTGGTACACTGACGGCTCCAAAACACCTGAGGGGATTGGAGCAGGCGTGTACGGCGCCAGGCTGAAGCTTTCGGTGCCCCTGGGAACCTTCCCAAGCATCTTTCAAGCGGAGGTCTATGCCAACAGTATGTGCGTAGAGATTCACATTGGCAGGAACAATAGGAATGAAAGGATACTTATACTAAGTGATAGTCAGGCGGCACTTATGGCTCTCTCATCATTCGAGATCAAGTCCTCCTTGGTTTTGGAGTGTGTCGAGAGGCTTGATGCTCTGGCGGAGGTTAATGATATCCAACTAATGTGGGTACCTGGGCACATGGAGGTTGCAGTAAATGAGGAGGCTGATCATCTGGCCAGATCAGCCGCTTCCTCGACCCCGATAGGACCTGAGCCCTTTCTGGCAGTGGGACCCAGTACCATAAAGGATATGCGTGGCACTATGGGTCAACGTCATTTCTATTGCAGAAAAAAGTGATCACGGTGGCACAGAGAAGAAACATAACCTTTCCCTGAGATGTGAGAATAACAAGCACAAAAAATTTTACGGACAATAATCTGAGATTTGCCTGTGTAAACGGGGTGATTAAAAAACGAGCTTGGACTGAGATAATATTTATATGTGAACATACTTCTAGTGACTTGAGCTATTAGGGGATTCCCTTAATCTCGTTAAGTCTTAAACCGTGTAAAACTCGTAAATTGACGAGGCTTTTATGGAAACGCCCCCTTTGTGAAAGATGTAAATCGGTGGACTGTTTGACAGATCAACCAGGATTTTGTGAAGCCATTTTTGTTTCGTAGTGTTTTTCATAACATCCCACCATCTTGTCTCTATCACTCTTGGCTAAAATACAATAAGAAATTCCGGAAATTTGCGGAAAACGTAAGTCAATACAGTTAGTGGATGAAATTCATTAATTTTATTGGCGTATTATTTTTTTCATTTATTTTCATTATTTATCATACATTTTAGTATAAAAATTTCGGCCCCTCGGCGACAGTGAAGTTTACGAGGTCGTTTACGCATCAAATTTGCCTTTTAATTTATGAGAGGTTTGTAAATAGAGCTCCATACAAATTTTGACAGTTTTTTCACGATGCTTGTAAATTTACGAGCTGTGCGAGGCTTTTACGAGTTTAAGGGAAAACCCCTAATATACAACAATCGATAGTGTTTAGAAAAATATACAACCATCGACGCGATTTTTCACATTCCCTTTTGGTGTCGCTCGTTTCATTTACACACGACGATTTGTGTGTATGCAATTGTTGTTGTCAGCTGTGAACAGCTTTTCAATTTACACAGACGAACGAGAGCACAAAGCGTGTTGCCCGAGCACGAGCAACTCGGTGCCCCTCTCCTTTCCTCGTCACGCTCTCTCCAACAAACGTCGAGTTGCGGCAACAAAAATCGCCGTGTGTAAATGAGCCGTGTAGAAAACTTCGATAGTGGCGGCAAAATTAAATCATAGATACTATCGAGATAGCCCCATCGATAGTTTTCCATAGTTACCAACAACAAGAAAACCCAAAGCAGCAAGAAGCAAAATACGAATCTGCGTCGGAGGAGGTGCAGAAAATCCAAGGCATAGAAAATCTAGATTTTATTTAATTTTTAGCTTTTGGTTGCGAAGTGGCGCGTTTGTTTACAAAGAAAATTATTACTGGGAGATATATGGTCTCTTTTTTTAGTGACAAAGACAACGTATGATGTAGCCGCGGCAGCTAGGTAAACTTCTTAGCACGGAGACACTGTTGAAGAAGCTAAAAAATAGAAATCGAGTGGGCGATTTATAGCGAATATTGAGTATACAAGCAAAATAAAGTAAAAAATGGAAGAAGGCGCCCCACAAAACAATCAACTGTCACGCAAGTGTTACCCATATCCACTCCTTCACAACGTGCACAAATATTTGCCACCACCGTCAGTAACTTGCACTTTAGGATACAGTTGCGAAACTTTGTATACAGAAGGAGATTTTGTATATTTTCACTACGGTTGCGACGGTTTCAATGACAATGGCTGGGGTTGTGCCTATCGCACGCTGCAGTCCATCTGTTCCTGGATCGTAGGCAAACGCAGCGCCAACGAGTCTAATACAGCGGTGCCATCGATTAAAGAGATACAACAAACTCTGGTGCAGATTGGTGATAAATCCAGTGAGTTTGTGGGCTCACGTGATTGGATTGGCGCAATCGAAGTATTCTATGTTTTGGATATGCTGTACGATGTTGTATGCAAAATCATTCATATTGCACACCATGACGATTTGAAGAAGTACGCCAATGTACTGAAGAAATATTTTGAAGAATTTGGAGGACTTGTTATGATGGGTGGCGACATGGACGCTGCATCTAAAGGACTTGCAGGCATTCATATTAGCGGAAATCAAGTTTATCTTCTGGTCATTGTAAGTAGGTACTTAGGCATAAAATTTCAATTAGTGTTTATTAACAGCCCTGCAGAAAATCTGACTAGCTCAGAACTAGCGTAGAAACCTTTTGCCGACACTACTAATTCTGGCTCGATTCCCAAGCAATGGTTTAGTGGCACTCGTTTTTAACGCGTTCGTTTTGGCATTTTTTTTATAAGAAAACGTTTTTAATATTCGATTTTTGGATATTTTTTCGGGTTTTCTTTTCTTCTACAGATTTAATTTTTGTTATATATTTTATAAAAAAAAAAAAAAAAAAAATATTGTAAGCGGCATCATGATTCATTATTGAATCAATAGCGGCACGCAACCATTTAAATTCATTAAATCTGAAAACTCACAACTGCCTCCACCGCGATTTGAACTCGTGACCAACGATGTTTAGGGCCAATTTAACGGCATTTAACTATAGGTTTTCAGTACAAAAAACTATAGTTAGCTGACGATTCTGAGTTAACTACGCACTGTGAATTTGGCCCTGAGTCGCAGGTTTCCGCAAGTTTCAACTGTCCCGCTCTGCAGCCGTTTTGCACTAGTTCAGAGATAGTTCTGAAATATGGAGTTCGGAACTAGCGTTTGGCCAGACTGCCTCTAAATTTTACTGCAAGGATATGTAGATGAATGTACGTACATAAAAATTTGCCCACATACATATATAGGGAAGAACGGGAAAGTATTGAAATGGAGAGACGTTTATTATGCAAACGACCTTGTCGGTTCAACTTGTATTAAGAGGTTTAATAACAAATTTAATGGTGCGTAACTAGTTGCCACCATTCCTTTTAGTGTATCTTTGGCACGTTCAATTGAACAGCACAGTCCGACGCAACAATTCGTGTTTAAAAATGCTTAAATCATTTAACAATAAGTGAAGCCGCTGAAATGATTGCTTTTGCGGTCAAAGTCGAAAATACATACATGAAAATACCTACGTTGCTTAAGTTATTTTTAATCGCCTGTTGCCAAAGTTAAAATATACATTTATAAGTTTTAAAATGTCTTTCCCCTTTTATAGTTTATAAATGTCTATATACAGTTGAATTAGTTTCTATATTAATTACTCCCTTATAATTCCTCTTTCAGGATCCCCACTTTGTCGGCATTCCTGAATCTGTGCAAGAGCTAGTTGATCGCGGCTACATACGTTGGCAACACACTTCGGAGTTTGTTGATAGTTCCTTCTATAATATTTGTTTACCCCAACTTAAATGAAAAGATGCCAAAGAACGAAAACACCTGGACAATAAATACATACACATGTACTATGTATTTGTATTATTGATCTATTAAGTGTTGAAATTCATTAGCGAATTTTTGACTGTTAGAACACATTTGCTGAATAAAATTGAATTGCTTTCACTACAAATACAAACTTTTGGAGTTTTGCATGGCGAAGGAGCTATCAACACATATTTGTCTTTTTTTTTATTAATATGACTCATTGCATTCTTCTAATTTCTTTAACATTTAGCACGTATGCATATCGGGCCCAGCTGTTGTAACCATTGATAACGAAAAGAACGAGAGAATTTTAAGAAATGACTGCGATAAGCACTAGCAGTCCGTACATAGGCCCATGGGCATGCTGATCGCTCCTGAATGGGTGTTGCGAAGTTAGCTTGCGCAATCATAAACAAAAGACATTATTCGACATGTAAAATTTTACTAACAGCTAAACACCTACATACATAAGTATTTATTATTAATCAACTGAATTGAAGCCCAAAACGGCTTACAATATTACAAAAAAATGGAATTTCTCCAACGCTTATTATACACCGCTCTGAGTGTTGTCTCCATTTTCTATTTTATCGTCAAGACAAGCCTATCGCACTGGAAACGGCGTGGCATTTTACATGAGAAGCCGAAATTCTTGGTGGGCAATTTAAGAGGCGTTGGAACCAAACGTCACATCAGCGCTGTGCTGGAGCAAATATACGAAAAGTACAAAGGACAAGCCCCCTTCATAGGCTGTTATGCATACTTAAAACCAATGGTTCTAGTATTAGATTTGGAGTTGGTGCGGAATGTACTTGTAACACATTCTGACAACTTCAGGGAGCGTGGCGTATTCGGCAATGCCCCGCATGATCCGCTTTCTGCAAATTTATTGCAACAAGATGGAGCGGCGTGGCACCGCTTAAGCATCGCTGTATGTCCAACATTTGAAGAGGAGCGTATATCTCAGATGCTACCCACTTTGGAAAGGGTTGCGGCTACCATGCATCGCTCTTTGACACAGTCGCAGCCACCTAATGCAGTACCAATAGATAAACTAGTGGACTGCTACAATATCGACGTAATTTCGACATTGGCTTTCGGTATAAGTGGCGAGACACTACTAAATACCGATACAGAATTCCGCCGTATGGCGCGAAGTTACCTCAAAGACTTCAATATGTTTCGATTATATTTCCTTATGTACTTTCCAAATTTGGCACGTTTGTTGCGCTACAAGAACTATGAACAAGCTGCCACCGACTACTTTCTCAAGCTGGTGCGGCAGAAGCTATTTGAGCAAGAGTGGAGTCGCATAGATAACCGAAATAGTTTTTTTCAAATGTTCGCTGAACTAAAACGACATCGAGATCCGGAAAGGCGTTTGAGTGACGAAGAAATAGCAGCACAGGCTTTTTCATTTATTTTGATGGGCCTGGAGACATGCAACTCAGCGATGACATTCTGTCTGTACGAATTGGCGCTTCAGCCGGATTTACAGCGTCTGGTACGTGAAGAGATACGCGGTGTATGCAGGCAAAATGAAAATGGCATGGACAACGCGAAATTGAAGCAGATGCGTCTGCTGAAACAATGCCTAGACGGTGAGCTTAAATATAATCTCTTCTTAAACTTAAGTTTGTACATTTGGACGTAACCTAATTAAAGTTGGAATCCCCACTTTTGACATAAAGAGCATAAAATCTCAAATCAGGTAGATACAGTCATGATAAAAATAAAAAATCATGGCCGACAAATTCAGAGAACGGTTCTACCTTGCTATATTTTTATCATGGATACAGTTTTATATAAAGCCTTCTGATAGCTTCATAAATTATGACATCGGATACAAGCTTGAATTTTGTACAAGTCGTTATCAAGATAAAATATTTAAATAGTTTTATGATGGTTTTACCTTTAAATATTTGTATCATGGTCGTTATTATAAAATTTCTTGCTCATTCCAGAAACCCTGCGCAAACATACGCCCTATGCCTTTTTGTTGCGGAATACCAACGAAGATTACGAAGTACCAAACTCGGTTTTCATGCTATGCACAGACAATCATCTGGTTATTCCTGTAGCGGCGATACACCGTGATCCGGAGCTTTATCCCGAGCCAAACAAGTTCGATCCAGAACGTTTTAATAAGGAAAATGTGAAGAGACGTCATCCGATGGCTTTTCTGCCATTCGGAGTCGGTAGGAGATACTGCCTGGCGCAAAAATTCGCCGAAATGCAAATGCTCGTTGGTCTCGCCTCATTGTTGCGTGACTTCAGTTTCAGTCCATGTCCAGAAACTCCGATTCCACTAGTGTACGACAACACACGCTTTGTACTTGCTCCAAAGGGACAACTCAAGTTGGCGGTTCAACATGTGTAGATGTCTACCACAAGTGCGACTTAAATAAAAATAAAAAAAAACATTCTTAAAAATTTTGTATGATACTTTTTTTCTTAAATTTACATGTACAATAATTCCGCTTTATTGACTTTATGGTTTCGCTTCATGACTATGTTACTTGATCGCGGGAATAGTTTCCGAAACCTTGACCAGGAGTATGGATTTGTAATGTACAAAATATTGTTAACTTGTAGGCAATAATTTTACATACATACGTATGTACATATGTATATTTTCAAAAGATAAGCACTTGCCACAGGTCCATAGACATGTTTGCTGCTTGTGATGTGTATAGAAACGCTATATGTACTTTTAAGTTATTTTTAATACACAAAAGCTTTTTTGTTATTTGTTCAACACAAACGGGATATCAAATGGAAGACAGAACAAGAATAATGTATATGGATGTTATTTAAAAGATAATTAATCTAATAAAAATATATAATTTTTTCTTCATTAACAATGAGTTTTAGTTAGGTACTCCATATTCCATGGAGAAATCTCAAAGCGACATTTAACTGGAAGAAGTTCTGTCAATAAAAACGGACCTATTTTTGCGATTATAGAATAAGATCAATGGGAAAATACGTTTTATTATTTTTTTAATGTATATTTCTTCAATTAATACTTCCTTTGTAAGCTTATAGGTCAATTCTTAAACAGCCTCATTGCGTAGGTCTTAAATTAGGTTAAATTGTACGGCTCGACAACAGTAGCATTGTCTATTGTCGTAATGAAATAAGTAAACGACCAAAATCGTCGAAAACTACAGTGCTACCAAGTTTTTCCGTTTTAATACACTAGTCGAGTGGAAATTTTAGGCAATGACGTGCAATTTTCGATACGATTCGACTCTCGAAAAACGACTGGCATTCGACACGACTCCCGCAATGAGGGTGAATACTACCGGGAGGTTTGTTCTCCGGGAATTGGTTTCTCCCGAGAAAGAAATCCCCCAATTATTAACACACAGGCGTAGCATTTTACCCGAAAATTTGGGAGGAGTAATTCGAACACTTTTTTGAGAGCTCAACTTCGCCATTTAACATTAAAAATCCTCATGAAATTTTTATTCATGATAGGAGGAAAGGGAAAAGAGAGAAAACACCCGGGGAGTTGCTGTTCAGAATCGGCCTGCATAGCTTAATGATCAGGTGAAGATAGCAATGTAAAGATTAAGCACTTTTTTATTTTTCCATCTCAGTTGTTATACATAAATAAATAAATTTACATAAATAAATACATAAATAAATAGATTTACGTTCTTTGATTTAACGTCTTTACATTTAGGCTGCATTTCTTTATTCATTCTGAACGTTTGGAATAAACTTTTTTGTTTATTTATTCTTTAGAACGTTCCTGATGATATGTTGACGTATATTTCAAACGCATTCTGTTTATTCCGGCTGTGAAATGGGATTATCCGGAATGTATAAAGAAACGCAGCCTTAAAGTGTTTAACGTTCTCTGTTTACGCTACTTGCAGCAAATATCGATAGTCAGTATCATCGATAGCCTTCCATCGCTATTTTTACGTTCTTTGGATTTTGGCATTTGTGTTTTCAATTTTCTAGCCGCTTGTTATTCGTAAAATGGCAGCTGTGCGCGCTCGTTGCATTCGCGGTTCCGCTATCCGTTGATTTTTTCATCTGTGGGCTACGAATAGCAGACAAAGTGAAATTGTGGAAAAGTGTTTTACGCCATTGGAAATGGAAAATTGTGTGAAAAAGGTGTACATGCCGTAGTGAATTTTACACATAGCTCGGATGCGAATTACTAGTACTTGAATTATGAAAATCGGCAATAAATATTTAAAGTGTAAAGAAATTTCGAAGTAGAAATTTGAGAAAGATTTTGTGTTGAAGAAGGCTCTGTCCATTGTCTCTGTCAAATGAATATTTCCAGCGCTTTTTGCTAGACGAGCTTGGCAAAAAAGGAAATTGTGGACACGTTTCTCAAAGAGAACTTGGATAATGTGAAATTTTAATTCTAGTGCTGAAGTAGTTTTTTGTGGAACAGGCTTTACTGAAGCCACTGCGATTGGACGGATAGACATTCTAATTTGCTATCAGACGCTTGGAAGCACCTACATACATACATCCTTTCGCTTTAATCGACAGGATGTTCAAAGGATACAGCACTAACAACAATACAACGGAATCGCCAAAAACAACAAAAGCGAATGAGCCGGATAGAACGAGACTGCAAAAAAAAAAACAGCATTGCCAGGTATGTACATAGTAGATGTATGAGGGAAATTATGGATCAGTTGGACTAATTTGAAATGTTTATAAAAAGTAAAATGCTGATTGGAAGGTTTTTGATGAAAACAAAAATCCAAAAACGATATTGATGCAAAGTAGGGCTGGGATATTCAATCTGATTTTTGACTACGGATAGTCCTGGCATCCGAAAATTCGAATATGTATCTAAATCAGTGATGGGCAGCGCAGGCGGGAAAATTTTAGTGAAAATCGACCCGAAAAAAAAATATATAATCGACCCGAAAATATATATATTGATGGGTTGGCTTTCCATTACATCGGTTTTTGGCTATTTCCACAAAACTGTAAACAAGCAAACAATTTAAAATGGCTGAGATGGTGAATATAAAGGGTGCTACCACGTCCGTGAACCTAGCTGACCCAAGTCGCCAAAAATCAAAAATTAGCTAGGAATTAGGTGTCTTTTAGGTGTTAATTAGGGCCTCCAAAATTAATTAGGTGTTCCATTGATTTCTGAGAAATTCGCAAAAATGTGTTTTTTGGTTTTAAAATTTCCAGATATATGCTGGAAAACCTAGCTGACCCATCTTTAAATTTAGGTTTTAAATTTTCCAAATAATAATAATAATAATAGATTGGCGCTTACACATATGCTAGTGTTTGGCCGAGCTTCTCCTCCGATCTGTGGCGTGCGCCTTGATGTTGTCACACAAAGCGGAGGGGCCTACAGTTTTACGCCGACTCCGAACGGCGATTGTATTTTTATGAGAAGCTGTTTTTCATGGCAGAAATAAACTCTGAGGTTTTGCCATTGCCTGCCGAGGGACGACCGCTGTTAAGAAAAAACCTTTTTTCTATATTTTATTGCGATGTTGCTTTGACCAGGGTTTGATCCCACCAGGGTTTGATCCCTACACCACAGCGGACGACGAAATTTTCCAAATATTCACACGTGAACATTGAAAAGATCGTGCATTTATGCAAGTACAAGTGATAGCTGCACTTTTTATATGAAAATGGAATATTTGAAATGGAAGTGCAAAAAATTTTAACAACAAATTACTTAAATACTAGTATTAAAAAAGTGAAAATAGTGAGAATTTATGTAAACATATCTAATTCTTAGCATCCTCGTAAAGTTTCATGAGAAAATTAGTTAAGTAGGTATAGTTTTGCTAAAACACGCACATGTCGACGTACACTAAAGTCAATCCGCGCAGGCGGAACTCCATAAGCAAGTGCAAAAGTTTTGTACCTTTAGATATCCGGATATTCCATTTTAAAAATTAACAATCTAATAACAATTGGTGGTTGTTGTGCACTTTAGCGGAGCCAGGTCAAAATGGACGGACAAAAGTAGAGAGTGGTATCAATCGACGCGTCTTGACGCCAATAATAATAATCAGAGACCAGAAATTAACATTTTTCATTCATTAAAGAGTTATTCACAAAAAACACTCGCACTTAGACTTCACTGGGGCGGCAGCGCCAGATTTACCACACAGAAAGGTAATTCTAGTTACCTCATCCTTTCCCAAGGCTACATCACTGGGGCGATAGCCCCAGTTGGTGCACACCAAAAGGAGAATTCTATTTGGTAAGGGTTATAATCCTAAAGCGCGGCAATTCAGAAATCAATTTTTATTTGCATTTCAGAAAAGTAAATCCTTTTAAGGCTGTAGTATATAAATACATATTTTAGAATATCAGTCTTCCCGTATTAGATGCATATGTATGAATGTTGATATCTTCGTAAACATAACCAGACCCTAAATGACGTTTTTAAATAAGTACATAGGCACATGGTTTCCAACTTCTTTGTAAGAATCAATGAAATCCCTAATCAGCGTGAACAACCACATTGCATATATTTTAAGACTAGATCACTCTCACTCGCTTCGCTGAGTTTATGAGATTTCTACGTGCTACATAAGGTTTATTTGAATTAAATCAACATACTTAAAATCAGGAGATTTAAAATTTTTTAAATATCTTCAAAATATTTTCAAACTAAAACTATCTTTTAAACCTCTCTCTTTTGAGACTTTTTCATACTTATGTACATGTACATATCTATATGAAAAATTAACGTTGCCCAAATCCACTCGAGTAAAGGACTTGACTGTTCCTACCTACAATTATCTCAGCTCTGCACGGCTATTCTTTGTCAATGCTATCCGCATCTGGAACTCTATTCCATCCCATATTCGCAGTAGCTTAAACAAAAGCAACTCTAAAAATGTTCTGTATGCGTATTTCCGTTAGCTTCACTTCAGTCCCTGTGATGTGCTCTCTATGTACTTGTCTAATTAAGTCTTATTTTAAGTATATGTCCTGGAATTGTAGAACTCACTTAAAAATACTACTCTGTTAATTATATTTAGGGGATTCACAAGACGTGTTAACGTCGTAAAATTTTAAGCCTATTTTTTTTTATATATAAAATTACCGTTAAAATGCTTTTAGAGGATTTATAACTACACCGAAATGTTTTTAATTCGATAAAAATATATAATTAGCCCCCCTAAAACCATTTTAACTGTTATTTTACATAAAAAAAATGTTAAGCTTAAGATTTTACGACGGTTAACACGTCTTGTGAATCCCCTAATTGTGTTACTTTTATTTAGTCTTAAGTAATTTTTGCTGTTTTAGTTATATGTATGTATGTACTGTTATGATTTTTTTGTTGCGCTATAAAATATCTTTCTTTTGATCTTATTGTGCTAATGATTTTATTAATAAATGAAATGGAATATAGTTTAGAAATAAAGCCATTTAAAAATAACTTCGGTTAAAACCTATATCTATTGTAATAATTCATGGAAATGATAGAAAATTTTTAGTTTTACTTCTTAAACCGTTAATTCCTATAACTCAAGTTGAATTTGAATTTTCAAAAATGTGGGGTTGTTGTTGTTGTAGCGGCTACGTTGCTATAAATATGTATGCTGATTGTAATAACTCATTGAACTTATGATATAATTGTATTTGAACCTAGATTTCAAACAGGTGGCAACCCCCTTCAAAAACCTCAGAAAACTCTACATGTTCTAGCTGAACATTTTTAATTAAAACTCGACTTTTAAAACAGGTGGCAACCCTCTTCGAAATTTTTTCCTACTAATACCCTATTAAATCCCTCTTGTCTGACGTCCATATTCTGATACATATTCCAGTTATCACATTTCTTTAATTCAATAAGAATTTGATTTTTCAAACAGGTAGTTTAGAACTAAAACATTTATCAAAAACTTTTCGATTAATACCCATATTGTAGTAATTCATTTAAATTATTAATTTAATTTTTAACGCTTGTAAAACTCCTCAGTAATATTTTAAATAGGTTTCTTAGCAATCTTTCATTTGACGCCCATATATTAATTTTTCAGATAGCTTGCTAATAATTAATAATATTTAATTTTAACGACTTTATAGCAATTCTACGAAAAAAAAATTCCTCCATGTAACGGCACGGTCAAATATTTACCAATTTCAAAATAAAAAATACGAGTCTCCTTTTCGATATTCCTATGTCCTGGGGGAGGCAGCGCAAAATTTTTAAAAAGTTGATTTTCCTATGTATTAATGCACCACCTTAAGTTTGTTGCTTGTATATTTAAGGCTTTTGCAACGCTTTGACTGACTTAAAGCATAAACAGAGGGCAGCGTTGATCTGGATCAATTCGGGAATTAATTGCAGTTGATCCGGATTAAGTCCGAGTTAATCCGGATCAACGCTGCCGTCCGTTTAAGCTTTTACATACATACAACCCTATTTTGGGATTGTGTTTGCGTACGCTTCCATCATAGCAACTCCCTGTTCCATTTAATTGCACTTTTCGATTTGGGTCTGCGCAAGTGCACTTGAAATATTCACTGTCTGTATGTGTACTAAAATACACTCCCTTGTTTGTGTGTGCTTACATACATTTGTGCATACGTTTATTTTTATTTCCGCGGATTTGGACACCGTGGGCCGTAATTTTCGTCTAACATTTACATGACAAAACAAGTAAAAAAGTCTAAGTTCGGGCGGAGCCGAACATTAAATACCCGGCGCAAGTATTAAATATATGTTTTTCACCTTTCCGAAAGCTACCGCTACATGGTAAACCGAGGTGTATCCATTTTGAGTAAATTAGCGTCCTTAAATTTCGAAATATTGAAGTTTCAAGCATATCTGAAATTTACTGTTATATGAAAAGCGGCCGTAATTTTAGTTCGATTTCAATAAGTTTCAACGCTTTGCTTCTATGTGGCAAGTACAATAACCACACCGAGTTTGGTACAAATTGGTAGAACGGTTACCGAGATACATATATGTGATCATAACTGGGCGGTGCCACGCCCATTTTTCAAAATTGTATCCTAAACGTATTTCTTGGTAACGAATTGTTGCAAGCATCAATTTTGAATAAATTAGCTTCAATAATTACTGATTTATCGAAGATTTCGTATTTCTCTAAATTACCGTTATATGGAATTATTGTCCTATTTTAAAAATTTTCGGCCATTTCGTATGTTATACCAAGGTTAACAACTGTGCCAAGTTTTGAATAAAGATATACACATGTAACCATAAGTGGGCGTGGCTACGCCCATTTTCAAAAAAATGTTAATATTCTTATTTTTCGTCTAAAATTTATTATAAATATCAATTTTGAGTGAATTATCTTCAGTAGTTACTAAAATATCGCAGTTTTTGTATTTCTGAAAATTACCGTTATATGGGAGGTAGGCGTGGTTATTGTCCGATTTTGCCCATTTTCAATACCATCCGTCCTACGCCCGAAAGAAGTGCACATACCAAGTTTCGTTAAGATATCTCAATTTTTACTCGAGTTATCGTGTGCACAGACGGACAGACGGACGGACGGACGGACGGACAGACAGTCACCGCTTAATCGATTTCTCTTTTCATCCTGATCATTTATGTATACATTTGTCTATATCTATCTCGATTCGTTTTGCCTGTTACAAACAACCGTTATGTGAACAAAG